GAGGAGGCTCCAGGCAGGGCGGGCTGCGCTAGCTGCGGCCACTGAGGTGCTGGCGGGCCGGCCGGCTGGCCACCCGGGCTGCAGGGACGAGAGGCGCGTTCGACGTCCGCACCCCAGTGTCCTCGCCTCAGTTGTCTAAACTTCGGGCTCCCGTCCACCAGCCCTCCGAACTCGGAGTCAACAACTTCTTCACCCCCACCCCCACCCCCGCCCTCGCCTCCGTCAGCCCCGGGAGCTCGCCGCGCGTCGGGGACCAGGAACCTCCGGCACTGAGATGTGGCCGTGAGGCGTCGGTGGGCGGCGAGGAGAAGCTCGGCGGCGCCCGGGAGCGGGAGGGCAGTGCGGCCGGGGGAACGGGGCGGAGGGGCGCGAGCTCTCGGCGCCTCTCCCCCGCCTCCTCCTCCTGCTGCTGCCCGTTCCGTGCAAGCAGCAGCCGGAGCTGCCAAGCACCAGGGCCGTGGTGATGTCGTCGTCGTCGCCGCCGCCGGCGGGGGCTGCCAGCGCCGCCATCTCGGCCTCGGAGAAAGTGGACGGCTTCACCCGGAAATCGGTGCGCAAGGCGCAGAGGCAGAAGCGCTCGCAGGGCTCGTCGCAGTTCCGCAGCCAGGGCAGCCAGCCGGAGCTGCACCCCTTGCCCCAGCTCAAAGGTAACCTCCGAGGGCGCAACCCGGGGAGGAACGCGGGGGCTCGCCTCCGCGCCGCCAGAGTCATTTCTTCATTTCTTTCTGGGCGTTCCTTCTGCCCCGCTGGGGCTCGGAGTGTGTGAGTCGCGTTCCCCATGCTTCCTTCGCGTCCTCCCACCCGCTTTGATTCAAACAGGTTTGCTGTTAAGAGCCTTGCTTTTCTCACTTCTGGGTTCACCTCAGCTCTTCCGGTCTTGGAGGAGGTCAGCACCCCTCCCCACCTGCGCGCTCTTTTACCTGCCCTTGCGACTGGAACTCTCCTCTTGCGGCCCGAGGGGTAGAGTTCTTCACTCTTCTTCCCCTAGCCTTGCCCTTCCCCATCTTGCTTTAACAACCTCTTATGTTCCGACCTTCCCTTTCTGAGACCTGCCTCCTCTTTTCGGCCACTCTTAGCCAATCCTTTACTTTTCCAATTATAAAGCGCCTGTACGCACTCTCTCCCTAACTTTCCTTCCCATTGATGGTTCCTAAGAGTCTTACAGACCAGGACTCCTAATGCACACACCGGTTAGGAGTTACCTGGCCTTTAGATTTATTTATAAAGAAAAAGCCTAAAAAATCTGACCAGTGTAGTGTCTTACTTACTGGGTCATTAGATTTAAATGTTCCCTTTAGCCCAAAGAATAGAAAGACTTAAAATACTTTATCGTCTGAGAAGATACACACGGTAAACTTGGAGAGGTGTTAAGGAATAGACAGTGTCGCTTTGCAATGGAATGGGAACTTAGTTCGCCAAGCAGTGATTCCAGGGACTTTGTAGGTTTGTACAGTAATTCAGATTGGTATCCGTGTCAATGCCTTGCAAGAGAACTTGGCAGTCCTTTTGGCTCACTCCTTTTTCCCACTAGGTTTAGAGGATTAAAAAAAGAAAGAAAGAAAGAAATTGGTTCTTGGTGTTCTAGTTTATTCTTTGTGGATTACTACCTTTTAATTTTATAATTTTAATGTCTTTGCTTTTTGTGAGATAGGCATCATCCTGGAACAAGATGATAATGGTCCTAAACATTTGACATTTTTTTTCGACAAAAGAAACCTGATAGAAATCTAGATCATCTGTTTTGCAAGGCCAGGAAATGAAAAGTTCATACTGAAATAGATAAATGGTCAGCAGGTTTTTCTATCAGTTTGAAAAAGCTCCAGCATCCCCTTTAAGGCCAGTCTGGTTCTGATTTGTCTTTGGGCGTATGAATCCAGCCTTAGTTTGGCTAAGAGTCTAAAGAAAACCCCAGATCAAATCACAGTTGACCTGCAATAGCTCTGGAACCCCATTCAGATCCTACACTGCCCTGCCTCTTGGGGTGCTTCTAAATTAAAGACATCCCACAGCCAGAATCAAACTGACTTTTGAAAGAAGGTTTTATTTAAGATGTGTAGCCTGTGGTACTGCATTTATCATTTGCTATTAAGCATACAAAAATTGTGAAAATTTACATAGCATAGTCAAGGGTAGACCACAATGGTAGGCATTGCCAAGACTAATACTTGAGTGATGTCATAGCTATAAAAGAATATCATCTTACCTATTAGGACATTGAACTACTGTTCATGAATTTAAAATTTTAAACTTAAGTAAAACAGATATTTTTACCTTTTTTATTTTTTTTCATTAAATTGGCAAATTGTTTTTGCAGTTTGAAGGTTTGGTGCTAGTGTTTTTCTTTCATGTTTCTTTAATATGCTTTTTAGTAAGATGTTCCTTATATTGTCTTTTTTAGTATCATATTTACTTATATTTAATAAAAATAATTGAATATTAGATATATGGTTGCTTCAAGCCAGGAGATGCAATTTTAATATATTTTGTTTTTAAAAGCCTAGCAAAAATATGCAGAGTCAGTATTCATCCAGGTTTCACGGTGTATAGTTCAACAAGTTGAAGGTGCCATTGAATGTTTTATTTATAGTATTTTGCTCACTAGTAGAGAAAAAAATAAAATTGGAACTTTAGTTTTATTCTATATGTTTTACATGAAAATATAGTATTCTTTATAAGGAAAGTTACGTATTCAGGATAAATTTATGTAAATTTAATTGAAGAATAAGATTCTTACTTAGATTACCCACTAGGAAAAACTACTTTTACTCCAGATGCCAAAATGCTTGAAAAGTGGTTTTTTAAAAATTCAGTTGTTTCACTTGGTACTTTGGCAGTGTCTTTGATACCACAACGTTGAGTGCTTTTTCTGTCGGTAGTAGTTTTTTCCATTTGTGGCCTTAACAAAAACCAGTGGAAAGCCCTGTAATACATGTATGAAGGAGAATTTTTCTTCCTGCTCTGAAATATAATCTTGCTGTGGAGTGATTCAATGTCTGTGGCCATCCAAAATCTTTTAAGTGTTTATGCCAACCTGCTTATGTTACACTTTGTCCACATGAATCTAAACTGGAAAGGTGCCAGCTATTTTCCTTAAAGCGTGCTGTGGGTAAAGAGTAACAAAATAATCCCACTTTTTAATCTATAAGAAGTTATTCGTGTGAAATAATTTAGTAAGTGGGTTGCAGGATTTTAATGGTGAAAATGTTCCGAGAAAATTCTGTTTTATTACAGAAAGTATTTAAAAAACAAGCCTTGTTAAAAGGATGTTTTAAAAATGAGAAACTGTTATGTGGGTCATCAAACTTAACTGCCTTATATTTTATAGCTTAAAAATTTTTTTTTCCAAAATACTTGAAATTTCTTATGTTAATTCTGTAAGTTCCTCTGAGAACTATGTATTAGAAAATAAAGGTAGAAACATTCTGTCAATCATTTTTTTCTGTATTTAAATTTACATTAGTATAGTACTTAATTTTTCTACCTTAAACTTTTGGTCTGGTGACCAACAGTTAGGAGACTTTTAACTTAAAAAAAAAAAATCAGTTAATTGGAAGCTTTTCAGTCTGTTTAACCTTTTTTGTGTAAGTCTCTAGAAGGATTGGTTTGGTAAAATAGTAGATGCCATACAGTTATATAACATTTAGCATTTACAAATTATTTTACACTTTTATTTATATTTTTAAATTATAAAACCAGTATTGCTCATAATAAGTGAAATAGTCCAAAGTTGTGTAACATCTAATCCCCGATATCCCTTGCTTTTTCACACCTAAGGTAATATTGTGACAATCCATAGCTCAATGTATTTTTACAAAAATTTTATTTCATTGTGTTATCCCAGCAACTCTGTGCAAGACCAGTATTATTCCCAGATGAGAAAGCTGAGGCTTAAACAGCTTAGTTTCAGGCCTGTGATTACTTATCTGGATGGTGTTGCACCTGACACCGGTACCCAGGTTAAATGATTTCAGTATTTTTGCTGTTATCCTGCTTTGTGAAATTTGAGCAGTATGATAGAGTTGGGTCATTGGGGTCAGCCCTGGGTCAAAGGTAAAATTTTAATCTTTCTGAGTTGCTTTCCTTATCTCTAAAATGGGGATAATACCTTCTATCTCCCCAGGATTTGGGGGATTAAGTGAAATAATGTAATTAGTGCCTAAAAATAGGCAAAGAATGTTAGTTCCCATTCTCTTTGATATTTGAAAATCCAGATCAAAGGTATTTTCTAAATGAAGGATTCACATAAATAGTAAACTTTGCTAGTGTACTTAATGTATAATTTGTTTATAATCAGTCTTCACATATGGTTTATGTGAAATGAGGTGAAGCTGTAACATCAGCATAAGTGTGGATGTGGAAATAGGGTAGAGTGACTATTTAAAATATTGAAAGTTGTAGTTAGAAGTTTTTTATCAAGCAGAGAAATTGAATTAACCAGTAGAATTGTATAGATGTGCATTTCTTATGGGAGACAGCCAGTAAATAGCAAAGGACAGAATGAAACTGGCTTTGAGATTGAAGTACCCTTCAGATGAGGTAAAGAACTTACCAAGTTTCCTCAGTAACAGTGAGGTATTGAGTCCAGTAACAGTGGTGCTCATTTGAAGTGCTTTGCTTACCTATAGGGAAACACAAAATTTTGTTTTTCTTGATGTATGTGGTCTTTTAGGGTATCTGGAACAAGAACAATGACACGATTTGAAATTTCATAACTAACTTTTTTGTGCTGGTGAGGGACACTACTGACTGAACTTTTAAGGTTTATAGATTTCTTTCAAAATTAATTTCATTCCATCTAAACCCAAAACCCGTTTTAGTAATTGGGGTGGCAATAAAGGAGAGTTGAAATTCATCTGAATATGTTAAAAATGTTTGTTTACAAAGGGATATAACATTTTACCTATTTTAGGACTGTCTTCTGGAAGTAATATTATATTTCTTCTGGTAGACTTATTTTTAAATTTTTAAAAACTTTTTAAGGATATACTTCTAGAGAAATTAATATAGTGTCTGTTGCTGGCCTTCACATGAAGGAAAAACTTCCATTTAAGTCTAATTTAACATCTTCAGAATTCCTATTTAGGGTCAAATTTCTTTTTCCCCCAATGTTATTACCTCCTCTGATTATTAATTGAATTTTGGATCCTTTTATGAAGTGCCTGTAAAGTGAGAATCCAGTAAAATGTATTTAAGTAAAATAGTGTGATCACTGGGATAGAGTACCATCCTGTAAATAGTACACTTAAACTGTCTTCCTGTATCATTGATGAGTCACAGTTGCTTTGGGCTAGTTGTTTAACCCCTTTGACCTTCAGTTTAATCATTTTTACTTGTAAGAATAATATTTTCCCCTGATAAAATCACAAAAATGAATTAGTCTTTAATGAGGTATTGCCTCTCTTTGGATGACAAAGAGAGGTTTATCAACAAAAATCATACATTTGGGAAATAATAGATTTTTGTGTGTTTTTAAAATTTTAACTTTTTAAATTGTAAAAAGCTGGGGATATAAACTACCTTATTTTTATTTTATGTGTTTAGCAGTGTTCTCAACCCTGGCTGTGCACTTAGAGAGTTTTAAAAAACATCAGTGCCTGGGTCCTACCCTCAAGTGATTCTAAATAAATTGGTCTAAGGTAGGATGCAG